CTTTTCTTTGACAATCTTTCAGTCAATCTATTCACTGCGATCATTTTTTCAGCTTCACTGTTCCGAAAGGAGCTCCTCCCAGGGGTTCCTGGACCCCTCGCCTTTCTCCTACCCCCCCCCCTCCCCCTCAACAGTCATACCCCAATAGAGTCTTCAGCCAAGACTTTGCTACTCCATGCATTTCCCGATTGGAGCTGAAGGGTCTTCCGTCCCCTTTCTGACCGTCTATCGGTTACTATTGATACACATGATACGTTGGTCCCCGCTCTGACACTGAAGGCCCTTTGACCGGGATGGTTGACCCTGAATCGACGCAGGGCCAGTCACTGACCCAAAAATGTCCCAAGCGTAGCAGGTTTAATAAGTGGCACGGGGATCCCAGTTCGACGCATTTGGGCCCTCGAGAAAACGGACAGAGAGACCCTATGTGGTGCTGGCCCCTGACTGACACGAGGCCCTTCCATTAAGACGCCCGTCAAGAAGGAGGAAGGGGGGGGGGGCAGCTCCGGTCCAGCACGAGCGAGATGCCGAGGTGTCCAACATGTCGGAATGTCGGGTCCGTCGGGATGTGTGTCGCGGTGAACCGAGTGAAACCGAGTCTCGGGCTCTGGCGCGAAGATGGCGGCGTGCCCGACTGAGCTGGCAGTGTGTCGACCGCGGACGGGCTGCCCCACCGACAGGCCTTGCGCGCGTGTGGCGGGGCTCCGTTCTCGGGCGAGGGACGGCGCGCGCGAGACTGCGTTCTTCATTTGGCGGCCGGGCTGCCTCTTCCACCGACCACCGCGAGCGTGGCTGCCGGCCGGACCGCCGACCTGGGCAGCCTCTGGGCTCACTCGCGTGTCCGAGCTCTGCGTCCAACCGATTGCACATTATTATTCACTCCTATATACAGTGATTGAGCGGAACCGTTGCCTGCGAATTTGGCGGGCGGCGGTTTGTTTGTTGGACGCGCTGGAATGCCGATGTCTGTCAATCCTCTTAAATGGAGTGTTTCAAAAAAAAATCACACAGGGCTTTTGGCGATATTCCTATCAGCACTGTGGGCATTGCCGGGTATTCTAGATATGAAAATATCCCACTCGTATTTTTTAACCACGAACTTATATCTCATCAACTAGCAATTGTTGGTAATAAGTGTTTATGGAAAATAAGTTGGATGTTTACGCACAAGTGATAAAACAGGGAAGTTATATTTAAGTATTGCGTTTTCCGACTATACAATGCATGACATTGCATGGGTAAATAATTACTGACATGCTATAGCTTCAAGAGTAGGCTACCATTGTTCAATAATCGTCAAACCTACAGTTAGGTGGAACTACTTAACCACACATTCTGAGAGCATGAAATCTAAACAGAACAGCAAAAAAAATTCTGAAACATCCCTACATTGGTGACAGATTCTCACATGGTTCTTCCTCGTCTGTCATATCATCTTCCTATCCAGTTAGTGGGCTTCGGCTCCAGTCTCCAACAACTTGATTAGCTGAGCCACTTATCCCTGCTCAGCCCAACCCGAGTATATTCATATTTTGCAAAACCACACTCCTGCATATTGCACGCAAGTTGTCGAATGCGTCACAGGTTTCAGGGAACAGAGGTCACATGTAAACACTCAATGGCTTGTAGGGGCATCTGATGGTTGCGACTACACAGAACACCAGGTTACGCGCGTGCAGACTTAAATGCTGGTGAAAAACGACGGGCGGGCTTCCGCAAGTCATTCTAAGAGGAAATCGTCGTGCTACAGGCTTATATTTGGAGCAGCGACAACATTAATTCTCCAATGAAGTTTTGATGATGTATGTCCAGTCAATACTCATAGGGACAACATAACATTTTCAGGGAGGTTGAAGACCAGCCCCAACGTGCAATCTTCTCACCCCCCCCCCCCCCCTCCCATACCTCTGACTTTCAAAAGCCAAGAAGTAGTGAAAATTGGGCCTGAATATATTGCAAACTTGTAGGTCACTTGTGGTGTAGATGATCCTGGCACTGTGAGGCCTTACAAATTTGGTTTGATGTGTCAAACAGTTAGTAGCACATCTGAATCTGAAGGCAACACTTTGAATGTCGAACTGAAGTATTGACTAATTTATCTCATCTCATCTAGGACATCTAATTTGTGTGATTTCTTCGATGTCTTCAGGTAGGCCGAGACAGACTTCAGATTTGAGTGTGCAGGACGCGATGTCATCTTTCAATGTATAAAAATGAGAAGGAAATTACAGTTTTAGTAGGCATGCAACGCCAACTGGCTCTACAGAACCTAACAGGACTCAGAGACAGAGTAATTTATCCATGTATCATGCAACACTAATAGTTGCAGCTAGTCATTTTCCAACAGCATAAGGGATTGCCTGTGTGAAGGACAACCTGTGCCAACCTTTGCTTGTGCCCCAAATGGCGTGCCCTAGACATATTTCTGTAATTGTACCAGTACTAAAAACATAAGACCATCTTTATCATGTGAGTGCTGGGTCACAATTAACATCAGTAACCATAAACGCATGTCTAACACTGACTAGCATTTGACAGGGGTGCAGTTTCCTTTTCAGTCAGGGGCTCTAGCCCCCAAAATACTTGGCCTGCAACCTGGCTTTGAGAACAAAGTGAGCCAAATCTGGGAAGAAACAAACCGATTCGTTGGCGTCTTTTGGGGGGGGTGGGTTACATCATTTCCCACTGATCAGTTCGCTGGGGCTGAGAGGAGTGAGTCGAGTATGAATTGAGGGTCTCAACCCATTTGGCATCCCTGACTGCTTACCACTGGTGCAGCACTAACAATAATATGCTAGAATTATTATCATTGTCATAAAAAGTAGGAAACATTATGATTGATTGCACGCCAATGATAGTATTTCAAACATCAAAACAAGATAGGAGACAACCTGAAGACAGCCAGGGCATGGGTTGGTGCTAATCTGTATATTTCTGATAACAGATTATAATCTTTAGCCAGATATTATGTGTTTACCAATTGGTATTCAAAGGATAATATTGCAGAAATAATGAATAAAAAGCAGCGCACGTGATCGCTGTGCCGGTACCAATCTGAAACTTAGTATATCCTGGCATTATCCGGCCGCCCAACCTGTTGTTATAGGGCCTTGGTCATACCGATCAGGGCAGCGCCTTGATAAAAGTGTCATACTACCGTGTATTTGCCTACTGTAGGCCCTGTGATAAGCCTGCGATGTTGCTTAACCATTAGGACTTGAAGAAAGGACTTGTAGCAGCAAACATCTAAATATGTAATGAACCAGGAGTGCGCCACAAGCTTCTCAAGCTGCTATTAAGTGAACTCCAATACGTATCTCAACTTTACACAATATGGCGTAACGTGGGAACTGGCAAAAGAAAGATACTAATTTAGCCAGGAGTGTGGCACAACTTTCTCAAGTTTCTTCTCCACACTTCTCTAAAATATTACCTTTTTGGTGTACCTGGCCTCTTCCAATAGCACACAGACAAGAACCTTCACAAAAGGCTATGATAAAAAGTAAGATGTCGTAAAAGTAACGTGTTGTATAGTTAAATCTAAGGCACCTATTTTTCCAGAATGATTGTATAGTATCAAATAGTACATAATGGCATAAGCCCCCCCCTGGCGACTCATGTTTCCGCAGAATGATTTTTAGTTCAATCGTCTATCATAATCGGCCATCACGACTGCACCCCCCCCCCCCCCGCTAGCTGTCCCAGAGCGGACGGGAGCCTCTCCCTGCCCTCTCTTTCCTAGGAAAGGAGGAGGAGGTCTCTCTGGAAGTTCTCTCTTCTTCTCTCTCCTCTCTCTCTCCATCTATCTCTCTTCATCTTCTCTCTCTGACTCTCTCGTCTCTCTCTCTCCTCTCTATTCTCTCTCTCTCTCTCTCCTCTCTCTCTTTTTCTCTCAGCCCTTGGTCCAGCTTTCGTAATCTATGCGTTCAGCTCTCTGCTCTCGTCTTCTTTCCTCATCGCTCCTATCTATTCTCTCTCTCTCTATTCTCTCTCTATCTCATCTCGATATCTTCTCTGTCTCTCTCTCTCTTCTCTCTCTCTCTCTCTCTCTCTCTCCTCTCTCTCTTTTTCTCAAGCGCCTTGGTATTGTAATATGCGCGTCTGTGCAGGTTATCAGTGGTCTAAAAGAAATGATTTCACCCATTTCAAACATTCGCTAAAGCCACGTTAATACCCTTGATACCCTGCGTAAAGCGCATCAGGTGAGTTTGCTATCTGCTAGCACCGACGCGACTACTGGATCGACCTCGGTTGTATCTAAGCCGGACGAAGATTCGTTCCCTAGCTGGCCTCCAGGGTAACAGCCCCTACTGGGTGGTACTTCCCCGCAGCTTGCCCCTGATGGGATGGCTTACCAATCCTTCAGCTACGCCCACCGCTTGCAGCGCCCCGCTGCTGCACACCCGCCTCCCACGGCGCCACGTCAAGTATGGAGACGCCTCCCCCGGCGTTTCTGCACCCTCGGCTCCCCTCTGCCGGAGTGGGCTTTGCAAGGCATCGCCTCACGATGCGCCCCTCAGAGGCCTGGAGGTAGACAGTGCACCTGATAGGACGGTGGAGCCCCTCGGTAGGCAGTGAGCGGTCGGCATGACCTGGCTTACGCCTGACAGCGTCTCCGGCTAACGCACTCCGGAGGCTCGGCCTGACCGGCCTGTCTGACGACTCCGTAGGCTCGGTCTGGCCGGCCTGTCTGACAACTCAATTCAGAATTCCGTGCCCTTCTTGAACGCGTCGATGGTGAAGTCTCTATACGTACTGAGGATTGCACCACCAAGGCCTTATAAGGTCTGGCGTACACTTCTCCGCGGTTCTCTTCGTTTTTAAGTGCTTGCTGGCTGACCACAACCGAATGAGGCGCATTCGTCACCTAGACGTTTTCAGAAGCGATTACGAATGCGAGTTGATGCCGAAAATTTGACTTAATTTTACTCTAGTCACATCATACAATGATCCTATCGTTCGTCAACTGTTCGACTCATATAGGAAACGCGTTTGCCAGGTCGCAGGTAGGTTTATTGTACAGCGTCAACCTCAAGCTCATCGTCGCCGATGCACCGTTTTAGATGTTAGGGTAGTTCGAGTCGGTGGCCACACCACACTGATTGTTGTGGTCTTTGAGCATCTTGATGTAACCTTCATCGCCCCAGGAGTCGCCCCACGAGTTCTTGACCAGCCAGTAGGCCATGCCGTCCTCGGTGCCGTAGCCCACCGCCAGCACGCCGTGGTCCAGGTTTCGGCTGCTGCAGTGCGGCTCTTGGTAGACACCACCACTGTACAGCTGGAACGAGATGTGGCTGGCGTCGATGCCGATGGCAACGGGACCGACATTGGCTACGGCATCCTCCATGTTCGATTCAGACCCCGTGTTGATCTCCGTCCAGGATGAGATGTAGGCGACCACGGCGGACGCGTCGAAGCGGCAGTGGAAGCGGCTGCTCTCCTCGTACGGGTAGTCTGCCTCGGACATGACGCCGCCGGCGTCCTCGATGTAGTCCCAGGACGAGCTCTGAAGGCCGCCGTTGCAGCCCTGGTTTCCGTAGCTGGAGGGGGGACGGCAGTCACCAGGAGTGCATTGAAAGGATGGCGAGCACACGTCCCCGCATCTTGTGATTGTTGTATACGCATCAAATATCATTTCGAAGAGACTTTAGCATCGCTTTAAACTATTTATGAGAGACCTTTAGATTGTGATCGGCCCTGAGAAACTCCGGCATATGTCCCTGGTAATAGCGGTAGGGGCATATGAGTGGCGGTGAGTGATGGTGAGTGGCGACCGGCTGAGCCGCGGTCACGTGGCCTCTGTCCGTCATCGTTCCCACATCGCACTGCGACCGACGTCAGCTAGATATGACGCCGAAGCCGACACACTCTCCGTGCTAGAGGCGCGTGCATGACTCATCCTCTTCAGATAAGTGATCAATTAGAGTGCACTGCGTGCAGACTTAGTGTGCTGGTGGAAGTTCACAATGTGTTAGAGAACGTTTGTAGATGAACCCTAACCTGGCACATGCTATGCGAAAGACTCGACCTTTTTCCTGCTGAACACATCGACTTTATATGCAGGACGAAATTTGCTAATTGAGGGGTTAAGTACCTGAGCTTTCTTCACAAAGTCTGACCAAACGGCTGAGCAGAACTTCCAACAACAAATAATGCATTCCTGTATCTCGAGTCCTCGGCCGCGTTCTAGGTCGCCGACGCCACCTGTCAGCGTTTCGTTCTGCCACCAGCCTCACCTCCTGGAGCAGTCCATGAGCTGCTGCTCAGAGAGCGAGACCAGCGGGTTACCAGCCAGCTTCCAGGCGCCCTCCAGCGCGCCGGTGGTGGAAAAGGCCCAGCAGGAGCCGCACTGGCCCTGGTCCTTGACGCCCGTCACGGCGCCTTCCTGGCGCCAATCCTTGGAGGCGGAGCTGACCCCCTGCAGCACGTGCTGGCCGGACACGCGGATGCCACGCGTCGCCCGCGGCTGGTAGCCCAGCATCTGGCGGTACTCGGCGTTGGTGATGTCGGCGAACTTGTTGACGCCCAGGCGGAAGGAAGAGGTGCCGGCGTTGTGCTCATCAATGACGCGCAAGTTGTCCTTGAAGATGGCTAGGCGCGCCGCTTCTTCGGCCGGGTGTGAGTAGGTCTTGCCGTGGGTTTTCTGAGGAGTGTAGCGGCGGTGCGGGTCATGATGGGTTCATCAACCCACCCCATGTCGGGCGCAGGAGGGCGTGGCTTTGGGAATTACTGGTCAAGGTATTCACTTTCAGGGCATTATGATTAAATGCAAACAACGTCAAAACGTTATGGGTTATGCGTGATAGCCTGTAAACCAATTTTCCAAGCATAAGTTGACAAGTGATGACATGATTTTTGGATCAGTTTTCACACGGATTAATAAGAATGCGAAACGATTGAATCATTTGCGACACGACCGAGTGCAACTGAGGGCTGTCAGCGAGAATCTTGACAAAGGAAAGAAAGTGGTTGGTCGACGTCGGTATCAGATGCTTTGCAAATCCTGCGCAACAGACGTAAATAATATGACAATGTTGACGGCCCAAAGCACGGAAGCCCAGACGTCTAGAGGATAATGCAGGAAAACGACGGCCAGGGATGGATTTGACGATCGCGTCGTCAGTGTTATGTTGGAAGGATCCTTAGGTCGTTGGTCTGTGTACCATCTCAAGGACGATTCAAGGAAGTGTTTATTACATGCTTGCACACTCATGCACGTATGTGATTGCTGGAATTAACCCATACACCAAAATATTCACACTTAGGCTTCCTTATGCACATTCCGCACGCACAGCACAGAGACCCAATATATTCTTATTTTTGATTAGGTAGGTATAGCATGCTAGCGCAGTGTGCGTCCTGCAGTATCTGATTTGTGATGGCATCAAGCCTTCAAATGAATCCACACGCCAGCTTTATAATCATGCCTAAACGGCTAAACATCTTGAAATATGCACGAATCGGAGTATCGCTTCAAACTTTACATCCGTTGGGTACGCGCAGAATCTAATTATTGGATGATTTCCTTGAGACTAAAGCTGGCATCTTTAACGCTGCATGTCATTATCCTCCGTGAGGTCGAGGTGCATGCAATTGCATGGGGTTTTGTGGTTCTTGAGCCCTCCCCCGATGCCCCTCTGAGTCCTTCTGAGTCCCTTCAATGCATAGCAGCAAAAAGGGAATACTGGGCCAAAGAAATTCAGAAGATGCGCTTAACTTTTGGTACCCTAGGTCCCCATGCACATCACAATTAGTATCATGTTTGTAGCAAATAGCGCCCTGTGCGTAGGCATTTGTACGTACGTAACAGCGTCCCATACATAACTAATGTTTTTGCCATGCCAACTCTTCCATATATTAGACCTGTCTGCAAATGTTTCACAGATTTTTCACATGGCAACACCTGGATTTGGATAAAAAATGAATGCAATAGGCGGGAGCTTTTTAAAGTGTGTGTACTTTACGTGAGCTATCTGAACCACTTTTATCCAATTTCTATCTGGCTACCCTGCAAGGTAGTCCAGATAAAAGTTATTCTATACTTTCCTCAACATTGCCAAGTGTATTTGCCGCATAATCGTAACGGTGTTGATTTTCGACTGATGTCGAGTGGCAAGTTCAGTCAGTTACTTTGGTGGTTAGCAGCGGTTCGGCGCCCGTCAAATCATCACAGCAAATGGGGCCCTCCGCGGTCCAGGATGCGCAACAACTGAATCTGCTGCACGTGCTCGATTGTCCGGTCGATCATCGGCAGTGATGCGCCCCGCCGGAAGTCACGCGCCCCGCCTGAAGTCAGAAGGTGGCCTTGAGCTTTTGAAGGTTTGCTGGTTCGTCCACTGGTTTGCGAGGTCACCCCGCAGCCTGAAGTCCAGCGGCGGCGGGTCGGACGATTGAGAGGCCGCGGCACGGGTGTCTTTAGCTGGTGTGCATCCCAGCGAGAAGGTTCTTAAACCAATCCAGTGAGATCCAGCACCGTGCGTGTTATCGCTCCGTCCTGCTGGAACCACTCCTCATCCCTATCGATGCCGTGGGATCGTTCCCGGGTCGCACAGAAGGATATCGGAGCGAATGCTGCACGTCAGAGCTCTATATCGCCGCCGCTCTGATGCCCTTCGGGGCGGCCCTGGGGCAACTGCTTAGCATCACTGTATCGCCACCGCTCTGATGCTCTTCCGGGCGGCCCTGGGGCGACTGCTCAGCATCGCTGTATCGCCGCCGCTCTGATGCCCTTCGGGGCGGCCCTGGGGCGACTGCTCAGCATCACTATATCGCCGCCGCACCGATGCTCTTCGGGGCGGCCCTGGGGCGACTGCTCAGCATCGCTATATCGCCGCCGCACCGATGCTCTTCGGGGCAGCCCTGGGGCGACTGCTCAGCATCGCTATATCGCCGCCGCTCTGATGCTCTTCCAGGCGGCCCTGGGGCGACTGCTCAGCATCGCTATATCGCCGCCGCTCTGATGCTCTTCCAGGCGGCCCTGGGGCGACTGCTCAGTATCACTATATCGCCGCCGCACCGATGCTCTTCGGGGCAGCCCTGGGGCGACTGCTCAGAATCAGCATCGATTGGGACTAGGAGTGGCTTCATAGGCCGGGCCGACATTGCACATGGTGCCTTGCACATGGTGCCTTGCACATGGTGCCTTGGACATGGTGCCTTGGACATGGTGCCTTGGACAGGTCCATAATTATTAATATGGAGCGTCTTTAGTTTAAGACTGCTGTGCCGTAACTTCCCACCCGCCCGCCCTATCACCACTGAATTTCGTCATGTGTTGACTAGATACTCGTTCTCGCCCTCATAGAGGCATCTTGAGTGCAGTCATAATCTGACGAACGTGAAACCACTGATGACTACCATTGTTTTGTATCACGCATTACCATGGAATGGTCATTCGAATACCATTATAGTCTTGATTGTGAGAGAAAGACACATGCCACTGTTAAGTAACAAGAAGGTTAACTTTTATCTAGTACGCCTTGCACAAACGGTACATCACATAGGCACAGCCTATCCGTTTGATCTTTTTATGGTTTCTTTTCGGGTCTGATCTATTGCTAAACGGAGAACTTGCGGCATAAACGGAACACCTCCATCAGAGCTCCGTTCATCAGCTTCACGAAAAAGAATGGATATTCTGGCCCGTCAATGTTCACACGGCTGTGGATCAGAGGTTATATATGCAGCCCTCCTCGTTTTTTGAAACAAGACATGCTTTTCCAATAGCCATGGATGTGCGCTCAATTGCAGTGCAGTCTGATTTGGACGGCCAGAGGGTTTGTCCAAGATTTAGTCCGAGCGTTTTGTTTGGACGTTTTTGTGGGATGAGCGTCCACGCTGAGAAGCGTTTGTTTGATGAGCTCTGACCCGAACGTAAACTTCAGGGTCAACGGCAGACCTTGCGGCGAAAGCTAAACATGCTGCAATGCTCGGCGCAGTTCATCCTGCCCGCCGACGCTTCCCGACCGTTGGCGCGGCCGCTGCCACCGGCCGGGTGTTGCTAGGCAGGGACAAATCGCAACGCCTAAAGCGACTCGAACCCACCCCGTCACAGTTCTATAAATCGGAATGTAGGCACTCTAACCAGCTGGGCTATGGGGGCAGGCTAAGGCAGATTGCAGGACGAGGCGATTTAAAATATAGTTTGGCTGTGTATGATCAAGCTGATTGCTCCGCAAAAATGGCGTTGACGAATGGAATCAACACATGGTGTGCAGCGTGTTCCAAATTGAAAAATACTGGCGTGGTGTTTACCGACTTTCGCGAATAAATCTGGCCATGAACATAGCTTTGAAACGTCGGTAAACTGAGCGTTAATTATTTTCAAAATAAGAACCCTAATTCATCATCCAGAAACACCAAGATTCGATGCTTTCCTTCTGCCAATTTCAGACATGTGTCAAAGCTTTGGTCGTTTTTTTCGTAAGACGGCCACTCTGGAGGCACATTCAGGCAGCAGTCTTTATCTGCTCTGTCCTTCCAGTTATCGAAACATCTGTCGAGAAGATCGCATATGGTCGGTTGTAATTTGATATGTAGGAACATCCTGGCCGTGCACTTTTAACTTGTCCATAGGCTGCGTTGTGTGCCAGACCATTTACCCCAGGCCATTGTATATCAAATAATCTTCTTTGTGCCTCGAGCCACCCTCGATGAACGATTAAAGACACCTATTTTCGTCGATCGCAAACGCTCCAATAGCTAAGATGCTGTTCTGTAAATCACACCTCATTCTAAGCCTTTCACACGCTACAGCTTTACATGACCTTGAAATCGAAGTTATTCGTCAGCAGTAAAATAATTTTGGAATCAACTAAGTATTTTCCAAGCTGTTTTGTTATTTAAATTCGTAGACGGAAACGAAAGTAACCGAAACAAGCGGACAAGGAATTTGTTAGGGATAGGTCAACCTTCTCGGCTCAGCTTCACTTGATTTTAAAAAGGAACACTCCTGTGACGAGGTTGTCGCAGGCGTACAAGGGTGGATCCAAGATTTCGTCAAGGTAAGGGCTACGCTTAATTGTGGAATTGGAATGTAGTGCCCTCCCGCTTCACAGACATTCGCCAGTCTTCTGCCACGCTATTTTTAGACTATTTCCTCTAATAAGTAAGCAGTCTTCCGACGGGTGTTTCCGCTGGCTTTGGCCCACCACATCTCTAGGAGCCAGTATAATGTTGGCCTTTATGAAGTTATTCTATCGAAAAAGAAGGCAGGAGCTCCCCTAAGCTACAATTCATTGCGTATTTGGAAAACATCAAACGAATTTAAGCAGGAACTGAATGACCGCATGAAGCAAACAGCACGTGCTAAAGTCACTCTCCGTCAAGAAGAAAAAAACAACGACGGTCGGCATTGCGGTCTCCACTGGCCCCCGGCGGAAGCTCCGTAGCAACACACGGCGGTGGTTAACGGTAACGCGGAAATAACTACTTATCGGGAAGTGGAACTTTCAACGCTTTTCGAACTCAATTGATATGCGTCTAAAAGGTGTCCTGGTCGAGTTTATTTAGGATAACTTTGCAGATTGATGCTGTGAACTGACTACTACGTACAGCACCACGAGCTCGCGACGCAATAAAGCAATCTCTTTTGCTCGTGTTGCTGTAACTGCAAATTCCGTTCAGAGGATTTTGAACTTTGAAAGCGTGCAAGAAATGTTTTGGTCACGACCTGAAAGGTATTTCGTCCTGTCCGAGGGTCCCTAGCGGCTGCCATTCGGGCGAATGCCCTCTGACCAAGATATGTGGCACCGGATCGACGCAGGGGACCTCACGGATACCAAAGGATCCCTTACCGGCGAAGGGAGTCCAACACTTGGTACCGAGATAACAATTCGGCATATCGGCCCCTGGTTGAGACGGTGGGGTGGATTACCCATTCGATACCGGGGCCCAAGACCGACACAAGGCGTTTGCACTACCTCATCGTGAATGCGAAGGCCTCCTTTTTGGCACCTTAATATTCGTCGTCCCATCCCTGTCCCTATTCAGCAAACGTGCCCCTTGCCGACCTGGGACACACTACCGACACAAAACATCCTGTTAGATGCTGTGGGATCCCTCACTGTTTCAGGGGCTCCAACCTATGCGAGAGGCCTGATTGACATTTATAGGGTCCTACCTTGTCGCTGATGGGAAAGGGGTACCAGACCGACACGGAAGCTACTGCTCGGTATTGGTGGTCTCCGTCCGCTGGCTGAGATAGAGGACCCCACCGTTCCCAGAAGCCTTCGATCAGTGCAGAAGGTACTCTGGCATCTGAACGTGCGGCCTTCGAGCTGCGGTCAGAGTGCTACCGTGCCTGACTCCGCTCGACACGGCATCTGAGAGTCCGGCCTTCGGGCTGTGGTCAGAGTGCTACCGTGCCTGACTCCGCTCGACACGGCATCTGAGAGTCCGGCCTTCGAGCTGCGGTCAGAGTGCTACCGTGCCTGACTCCGCTCGACACGGCGTCTGAGAGTCCGGCCTTCGGGCTGCGGTCAGAGTGCTACCGTGCCTGACTCCGCTCGACACGGCATCTGAGAGTCCGGCCTTCGGGCTGTGGTCAGAGTGCTACCGTGCCTGACTCCGCTCGACACGGCATCTGAGAGTCCGGCCTTCGGGCTGTAGTCAGAGTGCTATCGTGCCTGACTCCGCTCGACACGGTATCTTTGCAGATGTATCACGCGCCTATCTAACAGTGTTGGCTGCTTGTTGCTTTTTTTTTGTTTACCATGAGTTATTAACAACGCGTAAAACACCTTTAATTCTAATCAGCATTACCGTGTCTCTCAAGCATTTTGAAAGCATTTTTTAGTCTTTTCTGTCAAACGTTCTTCTGCCGTCAAGGAAACAGGCGAAAACAGTAACATTCAGTGGACGGTATGAATTGATAAGCCGTTTTAGAATTTTTATGCGCTGACCAGTGTCACAATATTGCATAAACTGGGTTAGGTTATTACATAATGCAGTAGCACATATACTGGCAACCAAACATAAACTCGATAGGGCCTCGAGGATTCCCCTCCGACCCATCTGAACAAAATTTATCACTCGATTTATGACCACCAGGCTTTGAGAATATCCACAAGATAAGTAAAAGTGAACACTCTACACGCTACATTGGCAAAAAAAGAACAAATAGGATTGTACCTAAAGTGCAGACAGGTTGACGCATGATCTTAAAACCTACCAGCAAACCGAAAGCCCATGGACGATACAACGGGTTCATAGTGCTCTTGCCTTTTGCGAAAGTTTGATTTTATTCCGCAAGCGAAGTATATTCTGCCCCCTCCAACCCCGCGCCCAGTAGGTATTCTGCTGGCCTCCCGCAAAACGCTCGTTGCAGTTCCGAGCCGTTTTGCAATTTTGTCATGCAATGAACATGCACTTGATGACAAATATTATACAAATTGGTCACGCAAGACAAGGTTCCATCCCGCCATTTTGATAGGCAATCTGGTGTGCGACGAGGATATAGAATACGACATTGCGTGGCCTGCTTTCATCGCATTTTAGGGTAAAATAAGAAATCACAGATTTGATGATGCACGCAGTCATATACATTATAATTCCTGGGTATGTACACCGATATCCTAGCGAAGGCGTGATCGGGTACTCCAAAACAAGGAAGCATGCTGGCGAATGCGTGATCGAGTACTCCAAAACAAGGAAGCATGCTGGCGAAGACGTAATCGAGTACTGAAAAAACAGGGAAGTATGCTGGCGAAGGCGTGATTGATCATTCCAAAACAAGAAAGCATGCTGGCGAAGTGCTTGCATTTCTGTCTTTGCACGCGATACTTGAGTATCATGTAGACGTTTCCATAATACGCATAATCATCAGGCTTTCAAAATAAGAAAATCACCATTGGCGACTTCCTTCTCTTGTTCTTGGGGATCATTCCCGTTGCGTGAGAACCATTGAATGTAAAAGTGTGCGGCATACTTCTGTTGTGTTTGGGGCTGGTAGAAAGATGGAAAATCCAGTTATGCACGCACATCCATAACTGAATTTTCGGGCTGAATACAGCCATAACTATTTGGCAGTAGAACACCAAGCTACTCAAAGATGGGAGAGCCAAGTAGTGGATTGATGAAAACATGTAACGCTAATGCTGCCTCCTCCATATTGTTTACCTGTACCCAATTCTGTACAATATACTTAATATCCCAAAGTTGCTCACCACTCATCTATCTGAACCTAATTCATCAAAAACGAAAGAAAACGACAATCCGTTTTACCCAAAACTGTTACTTTTTACCTGTCCTGGAAACGCCTATAGTTTTCAATTTGGCTTTTATATCTGAATACATGCAACACCCTTACGTTTTCAGTTCGGTTTTTTATCTCTGGATGCATGCAACACCCTTACGTTTTCAGTTTGGTTTTTATCTCTGGACACATGCAACATCCTTACGTTTTCAGTTCGGTTTTTTATCCCTGGATGCATGCACACCCTTACGTTTTCAGTTCGGTTTTTGTCTCCGGATACATGCAACACCCTTAAGTTTTCAGTTCGGTTTTTGTCTCTGGATACATGCAACACCCTTACGTATTAAGCTGAGCTGCGCTTCCCTATAGAAATTGCTTGCTGGCATGGGCACAGTAGCCTTTAAAACTCCAAAATATTGGTGGCTTTCCCCGACTCTCTAGCTGAAACTCCAACTGGGATACGGTTTAAGAAGGACCGATTCCGTTGAGAGACGAGTGGAACGGCCTCTGTCCTACGAAAGCTGAACAAGTAACTCTCGAAATCGGTGGGAGAAGCAAAGTGTTCTCCCCCATGTTAACGTAAATACTCCTCCTAACTCCAAATACGCCTCCAACTAAGATGGATAATATTGACCATCACAAGGTGCATGGCAAAATTGCCTTATAAGGTTATCCCGCTTCCCATGCTTTGGGATGCATCAGCTTGGACATGAAATAAATCCCCATTGGTTTTATTCGAAGGGTTCGGAGAACTTAATGAAGTCCAGATAAAGTGTAAATTAAACGGAATGCCAGCTGCCAGCTCAAGATTGCAGGCCCATGCGCACCCCGTAAGTTTCAACGACGTTGTTGAATCCCAAACAAGAGCTCCGGGGACTGGACCGTTAAACTGTCATGAAGTGTCATAAGGCCAACACATTATTTCCAGAGATAGGGGAAGGGCTGCTTCGTGCTTCCCCCCCCCCCCCTCCCCGTGTCCGCCCTCGCTGTCATGGGGGCCGAGACAAGCACTGACCTTGAAGGCGACCCACTCGGGGTCGGCCAGGTCGAACCCGACGGCGAGCTGGACCAATGCCAGGACGAGAAGCAGCCTCATGGTTCTCCTGCACGGCGTGCGAGACAGGCAGTAGATGTCAATGTCACAGACACCAAACGTCAGCCCCGGCGTAGGGCAGGAAACGCATAGTCGAAACGCATACAACATGACGTCAATGTTGGTGTGGGGAAGAATGTCAGCATTCCTGAGAGTCATAAATATATTTTGCCTCACGAAGACATTGCTTAACTCGTAAACTGAAATACACGTTTAGTGTGGGCGCGAAAACTCTGCCGGAATCTTAGCTTGTACAACTGCCATTTTTGACCCACCGTGCCACAAAAAGGTCCGCTGCCCGTGCCAATGTGCTTTACCTTTCGGTGAGCATCCAACGATGTGGTAAGCGGCATCGTTCTCGTCTTTATAGTCAGATAAAAATTCTTATCAAGCAAAACGAGGAAACTTTGCACCTGCATCGCACCATGTGCTCGTGCTCCTGCTTTTTGACAAGGACATGTGAAAATGGGCCGTCCGACAAGTGTAGCGTTTTGATAAGGTGAGGTTAAGTCTCGGGTGCATGTTTCGTTTGCAGAAGTTTCCGTCCGGGAACCACAGTGCATGACACAGGAGTTCTATGTCGGTAAGAGGCGGAGACTCGGCCAGGGAGCATTTGTTGCACAGGAACAGGGACGGAACCCCGAATGTCAGAGGGCTTCTTGCGGTTTTCGGGGTCTTCTGACAGTGAAACATATGAGAACTTATAACAGGAATTCACAATGATAAAATAGGAGGGCTCTGTGCCAGTCAGGGACCCCAGTATCGAACGGCAGGCCGTCTACCCCATTTCAGCCAGGGGCCTGTTAAGCCGAAATGGGACCTCTGTGCCAGTTACTGGACCATCTGTTGCGATCAGGGAATTTCTGTGTCAGCGAGGACCTCTGCGTCGATGCGAGGCCATCTGCCCGGGTCGAAGCGTCTCCGCGTTGGGGAGGGGACCAAGATCTGACGCATCCCTCCAAGAGCCTTCGGATCGACCACGGGACACCGCCACTGTGCGGCCAGAATGGCAGCCGGTAGCCGGTAGGCACCCGATCTGAGACAGAGCGACGCTTTAGTCTCTGACCGGGGACGATACTGTGCTCCTAGTGGCCTACCCAAGGGGTCTTTGCCCGGAACAGGTTAGGGCCCCTTTAACGTGCAATGGAGTGGATTGAGATGAGGTCAGCAATGAAAAGAAGATCAGCCTTCGCTTTCCTTGGTACAACCACCTTTTTCAGAACTGACAAGTGAAAAAATTGCATGAAAAGTTTTGAGTTTATCTACAGAACACGATTCAATGTCAGCCCATTATTTTTACCTCGAGAATTTAAAACCATTAAATCGAGGCCATTTTCGCTGACAGATGCTTTCAATGATGCCCCGGGCGTGAAGAACAAATGAGATAAATTCTTAAATACACCTTTCAAAGATAGCATTTGTCCTGCAAATTGTACCTGGCTCATTCAATGAGTCTGATTTGGCTCCAAAGGATTATCGACAACAAAGGCGATCAAGATAGCGACTTTGATAGAGACTATCTGCGTGACCTCACCTCTGAGCTTTATTCTGGCCACCCAGTCCCAGCCTAAGAAACCCAAGCATGTTCTCATGGGCTTTGGCGTGGAAATGGATCACCAGACCTGGATTTGATGAAAAGAAGTGTAATCAAAAAGTGGTGTAAGTGTAAGGAAAAACGTGCCTGTCAGTTGACATTGTCAGGCTGAATGTTTCCAATAAGTCATAGATATTTTTGAGCTACCTGTCTAGTATCCAACAATGGCCAGTACCCTTTCTCCTGGCAAATGCCGTTCATAGGTGCCTGGCGATTCAGATGGAGCAGCGCAATCCCCAGTGACACAGACAGGAGGGGAGAGGGGGGGGGGCACAGGGGCACAGGCATGCATGACACTACAGGCATCTTCTTAGAATCTTACGATCCCATTGGGCAAGTGGTTTTCAAGGCCAATGAGAATAAAACCGACGAGTCGTTCACATCGGGCGTTCGTGAGCACGATTAACAGATAAAGCAGATGTTAATTTTTTCTCAAGCAATATTGGACCGGCTGTGTAAACCTCAATCACGAAACACGCTTTGTGCTACAAATAAAAGAAGTGGAACATCCTTAATACGTGCCCGGGTGGGGGGCAAATTGACCCTCATGGTTTCCGAATGGCGAGGCGCATCCACGCCAAATTTTGAAAAGCTGTAGATAATTGAATAACGGATCGTTTGGTGTTAAAAATGTATATGTGCCTTGTAAGGTCGCTGACCTGCGGCAGGTCAAAGTCAGTCCATGGATTCTGCGAAGTCAATTCCTAGGGAATTGTTTAAACTGATACAGCAACGGAGTGTCAAACGAGACCATACATCTCTGAGATACTTTCTTAGGCAACGCAACGATTGAAAAAACAAATTCCATTGACCTAAGGTCAGTGTTGAAGGTCAGACCAAAGTCAAAGCCAATCTGTTCTATTACCCCAGGGCTTGCTGTATGGGTCAACGTTTTGTTTTTGGGAACATACTGCTCAGCGTAATCTTTGTCGCTTGTTCAGATGTAAAACTCAAAGCAGTCTTGTATGATTTTGGTCACCACGACCTTCGAAAGGTCAAACAAGGTCACTGACCTTAAATTATCACGTGGTGTTTTGCTGACAACGGGCAACTAAGTTCTAGGGGCACTTTGGAGACCAACCTTGAGCTTGACCTTGTTTGACCTTATTTGACCCAAAATTCATGGCGTAGACACCGCAAACTCTGACCTAAGTGAGTTCAGGAGCAGGCCAACACACTCTGAAAATTTAGTGTCTTTATCTCTCTTAGTTCTTGAGATCTCAGAAGGGTCAAATTGACCCCCACCCGAGCGAAAGGTATCCAACGGGCCAACTGGCGTGTTAAGAGCCATTACAGAAATGAGGCTGGTAATTAAATAACTTATGAATAATGGCATAACTGAGCATGTGAATACAGAAAAACACCTTTAACTCACGAAAAAAATGCAAAACACCATGAGAAGTAACTGAAACACGAGCAGAAAAGCCTTTCCTGCGAGGGTAAGAGACAGGCGACGCCATATAGCCTCAGCACCTGGGTGCGTCGTAAAGCCCCAATGACACACACACACAGGAGCAGATAAGATTTGGTTAAGCAACACCTCCAGCAGAATCCGGCCACCTCTCGGGAGATTTATATACTATAAATGAGTGCTAGCGTGACAATCTCGCACGGCCACTTTGGCAACATCTCACTATTATGCAGACGTTTCATGACATAATCAAAACCATTTCGTGTTGTGGGTCATATTAACTGAGTAGCGACTTTGTGAATCTCGAGCAGGGTTTTTCACTCGAATGTATAACAAGAGGTATAAGCGTGCGTATTTCATCATATCCAATGCTTGCTTCAATATATTTGAGTGGGACACAATTCCCCTCCGGCTATTTAGGCGAGGCAAACGACAGAATTTGCTAAGAACCGTCGTCAGCTACTACGGTCCAAGTGTGCTACTTTTGAGGTGTTTGAACCTACACATTACTGGCTTGCATGCTTAGAAGTGGCACCTCCACTAGTATGAATATCGGCAGCACAAATGAACGGCGCGATGGGAGGCGAAGGCCATTTACTGAGAAGTGCATTAGTTGACGTTTGAACTAAAGGGTCACTTTTACAACAGACCATGTCGTACTGTTTGGCCAAAGCCAAAGTGCGCTTCAGAAAGGGGCACCGTGGTAAACATCATAGCGGAGAAATCAAAGCCACGGCATAACGCTTCGTTGAAATCACGTGATAATGGCCTCATGCTACCATATCTTCGTTCTACATGAAATGGTACGAGCCTTTGTAGCATCTATTGTAAGACCATATCCACAACTTGGTCTAATGCAAACATTACGGAACACACTCGTTGGAAAACGCAGTGCAAAATATCAGCATTATTTTCAAAGTGGTGAGCAAACAGTTCGGCCAAGAAAAATTGTCCTTAAGTAGTCGCTTGAGCGGCTACTCCGAATATGAATTCTAGGCTCTTCAAAGGGATTTCGGGAACACTGCTATTACTGACCAAATCGAACGCATCTGATCCCACAATGGCGCGCCAGCTGTCACGGGGAGTGGTCGTCTTTTGTGGCTCTCCCTGGATATCGGTGATCTGAGTGAACCGTGTCTTGAAGGTCTTCAGCTGAGTGACCAACTCAGCTTGTAGGCGTTTAGCTTACATTTGAAGCTGTTGCTCAAAGACGATACTGTACGCTTCCCAGGGGCGGATCTAAGATTTTGTCAAGGGGGGGGGGGCACGCAACATTGTGGGGTCCCCTAGAGTTTGGGCCCCCTCCAAAAAATATTTTTGCTTTTTCGTCATTACATTTCAAGACAAGTCTTGTGTGATATATATATATATATATATATATATGTGTGTGTGTGTGTGTGTATTTGTATATATATATATATATATATATATATATATATAACTATATGTATTTACTTGTTCATTTGTTATTTAATACGGAAACCCATCTTACTGTGCACAGTCCTATAAAGCTAGGTGTGCTACGCATGCATACACATGGACTTCACTCATTTTCTACAGAGCATGTTAGATGCTGTGATTTTTGAGGCTAAGTGTTTTGGAACAACAGGCAAAATGAAGTTGGGTTAGCTGCTAACAACCATCAAAACCAAGCACGGACTTGACTCCTAGCCTATGTATTTACGGCCAGCCGGCTTGGCAATGTCATCAGCTGCTGGCTGATGACTAATGCGTAATTTTCCCTTTATCATAAAGGAATACATCATATCTTATCATTCAGATATATTAAGAACGTAATGCACTAGTGTAATAAGTAGCACACAATCAGTAGCTAATGAAAATGACGCATACGACGTCTACGGTATGTAAAATTACGCTCGGCAGTTGCGCGTAAAAATTAATCGGCGTATATTCAACTACTGCTCTAAGACCAAGGTACCAAGGGCAATTGGACGAAACTTGAGCGATCATGGGTGCCGCAGGAGGCCAACAAAGAGGCCCCGTCAACAAGCGTAGGATCCTCAGAGCAAGCAAGATGAACCCAAGACCAGCGTGTTGGGACCCTAAACGTTCGGTAGTGTCCCGGCAAGTTGGCATATGTTGCCCCACCCAGAGCGCAAGACCCTCTGAGCAAAGAAAATTACCCAAGACCATGAATTAATACCCCTGTGCGATCAAGAGCGTACGAGCACGTTGACGGAAATAGCCTTGATGAGAGTGAAAAGTCCTCCGCAAATGAGATCAGAGAGAAAGATGCCTCGATCAAAGTAGAGAGCGCCTGAACATCGAGTGTCTCGGTGCCTTAGCCTTATGAGGGC